TTGGTCATGGTCTTCTGCAATTCCCTCTTCAGAGAGTATATCCATCGTGCCCTTATAAAAATGCAGACAATACGAAGCTTCCAAAATCTAATTAAGGTGGGGTGTGCGATAGACTGACTTCCAGGCGTTGCACCCTGGGCAACGTATACTCATACGGCAGACAGCCAGTCTATTAACCGGCAGTTGACTTCTGACTTCTAACTAACATGACCTCACTGCTTGTCATATTCGACCCCTTCCACAGTACTCATCTTACCTTTTTCCCTACCTTTGTGTCTGTCTACCTCTTACATCTGTGAATCGCTATTCTGTTCCCCGCCCCTCGACTTTCTGCTACTTTGGTGAACCTTCCCTCTATGAAGCCCGAAGTCAGCTAAATGGCTAATGATAGCTATCAAAACGCCTGCCATTTGAAATAAATAAAATCTAATTAAATAAGGTATATTGACATTCTTCGCTTGTTGGAATAACGGCATTCTTTTTTGCCTTTATGCATTGTCATGAGTAACGGTAACTCAATAGTAGTCCTAAATGAAATCGCTTGACACTAAAACGATCATTCTCTTAAATTCATTAAATATCTTAGTATCATGTAAAAATGAGTCAAAGTATCACCGGTTTAGTAAAAATGGGGGGGGGGAAGGTCCAAAAGAGCGCAAAAAATGTTATTTTCTTTCAAATGGAAATACTAAGACTTTATTCCAACATTAAAATCTAATTTTTAATTTTACTTAAATAAACTCTTAGTAGATTGTAAGACTTCTAATGGTAGTAAATTAAGATATCATCTCACAGATTCAATTATTAATATTATTTTTATTTTCAAAAAATTTCATTCATATTTATTCGTCTGTGCAGCGGCTCGTAAGAGTTTATCAACGTACTGGGACTTCGGTGACATTCTTTCGCCGTAGAATATGGACTTCGGATCTCGGCAGATGTATTCAGAGTCTGCTTCATCATCTTCAGTGCTATCGTCATCATCGAAACCTTGATATAAATAATTTTCATCATAGGAGGAAGAGGTCGAATAGGCCGATTCACTGCGTGCTCTAGCATTATAATTCGGTCTTCGATTAATCCACCTTTTCGGATTGTAGAGGGTATAAGTTTCTTTAATGGGCCCAGCATCGACAATGTCCGTTTCTGAGAGTCCATTAGCTCTATGCGCTGGCGTAGAAGAAATGCGTGCCTCTGAACGGAGCCTTCTATCAAAGAGGCCTTCATCAGCTTCATGTGTGGCCCCTCTTTGTTCCAACGGATAATCCTTTTTAGGTGTTATATCTTGAGATCCGTTTCCATCATTCGCTAAAGTCTCTTGGTATTTTTTCAAGGCGTTTTCTAGTATTTTTCCGCCCTCAGGATCAGTCCAAGTAAAGAGACCTGAGAACTGTTTAGTTTTTCGGGTTTTGGGCACATGAAGAAGGAAGGAATTAGCATCATTTGGAATTTTAACAATTTGTTTAATTTGCCCATAGCCAACAGGTGGGATTTTCTTTCCTCTCTTCTTGGGGGCAAACTCCACCATGTTGGAGTACATTGAAGCCGTGTAGGCTGGAAATCCGGACTTCTTCACTTTGACAGAGTCATAGATACGTTTGGCGTCGTCCTCAGTGTATTGACCTGCCTTCTCCTCCTTGACAAGTTTTCGCAGCGAGCATTCAACAACTTTAGCCTGGCCCTTTGGGACTAATTTGTCCTTCTTGGGATTCTTATTTTTGCTCTTTCTTTCCTTAGATTTTCCTCTTTTGATGTCTTTCTCTTCGTCTTTCGCCATCTGTGCGAACTGTCAATGTGATTTGATTATTTTCTTTGGCAAAGATGTTAGTATGACTTCTCAATTGATAACCAATAAGAATACGATTACATAATACCGAGCTGGGTGTGTTAGAAGCACTAAATTTGGTTTGAACGTTTTACTAAATATTTTGATGAGTGTTATACCTAAATGACCATAGCATTAGTATTGCGTTTCTATCCAGACGGTGAACATTTGATTATTTATGAAATAGAACTACAAATCAAATGGTTGCACCCTTGGAGAGATCAGGCTACCTTATTCTATGGCTAATTATACTTTAAATAATACAAATATTTTCGTAATAATTAAGCCTTGATCATGTAAAAAGCATCATGTTGCTAAATTCTGAAGCGTTTTAAAATATCGATGAATCCAATTCAACTATATCCTATTTACTTTCAATCTCTTTTCTAATTTTCCAACAAATACTCGCTAATTTACCAATGGATTAATGTCACAGAGAATCAAATTAAGGTTAAATAATCTATTGAAGAAACTAATTTACTATAAATATTAGATGTATTCTGCTGCAAAATATTTTTCCTTTACGAACATTTATTGTCTCCTGTTAACGTTTAGATCATTAAATTTTAAAGAGGGATTACTGCCACATTTAATCCTCCAATGGATTGAGTGAACTAATTAAAATTTTATGGGAAAAAAATAAAATGGGAAATACTTAGTGGATTAATGAAAGGTTGAACAATCGCGTAAAATAGGACAACACTTGGCGCACCCCGGGCAACGTATTCTAATACGACAAAAAAGTCTATAAACCGGCAGTCGACTTCAGACTTCAAACTACAATGATTCCATTGTATGTCTAATTCGATCCCTTCCACCATACTTATCTTACCTTTTCTCTGCCTTTGTGTCTGTCTCTTTTGCATCTTTGAATCACTCTTCTGTCCCCAACCTCTCCACTTTTTCTCCCTTTGATGTTCCACCTTCCCTCTGTGAAGCCGGAGTCAACTAAAGGGCAAATGATAAGTATCATAATGCCCGCCGTTTGAAATAAATAAATAAATAAAATATTGAAAAGTCGTTAAAGTAGATGAATGAATAATCCTACCAAAATATACTAAAAGTAACTCGATAACTTTACGTGATCGAATCAAAGGTGTATTTTGTAACTAAATAATGCCAATTCACCAATACTGATGATTCTAGTATATTGTACAATTGAGTTGCGTTAAATACAGTCGCAGATTACCATGGTCAGGGGCCAATCTATAAGAATCTAGTTCGTCGATTAAGGAATTATTGTTAAAGAATCGAAGGCTTGAAGAATGTATAACCAAATGGTTATTAATATAACACTTTTTTTTTCTTACAGGAATTTACAAAAAGGAAATACATATTATCAGTTTTTCGGCATTCACGCTCATTGAAAACATTATTTTATGAATTACCATATTGCTTATAATTTGAGGGGAATGGCATTTTGTGCTGCCGTACAGAAAAACCCGAACTTCGTGCATATAAGTAAATAATAATGACTATGAAAATATTGAGAATATTAAATTGCACTATATACTTTAATAAAATGAATAACTGATTCACACTCGTACTACCTCATCAGAACTTGGGTTATCAGTTTAATTTTAGAACTAACATTAGTACAGACACCTCTTTTCTGATCATCCTCTATGTAAAAACCCTCATTCTTTCATACATATCCTTTAATCGCCGGTGCGCATCATGCCTGTTTTCTACACTCAAAAATGGTTTTATCTTACGGTTCGTCAAAGGATATGTATTTTTAGAATCGGTTTATAGTTGAAAGATTAAGATGACTCTACTTCTCACCCGAAAATTATTTGGAAATGTCGGATGACTTCCAATCTGACTAAACCTGACGTGAAATCACTACAAGCGATCCGAGAATAGACTGAATGCTTGGAATCACTTTTCTCGTTAGAGGAGCTTAATAAATAAATCTCGAGAATATACACGCATGACCATGTTGAACCAGTTTTAATTTAAATAAATACAAGACATGCAATGCTTTATTAGGAAGTACAGATTATTTTTGGTTGTTAGAATTATTTAATTCGATAAAATGGAAATCGACGCGGAGATAGCAGACATTTTAATGATTTATGTAATAATTGTATTTTACCATCTTAATGTCTATTTTTGCAATTCATTAATTATCATGACCTATTGTGCATGCTTAAAATTTTACAGTCACCAACTAATTAAGTATGTTTGCTGGTTCAGTTGCATTTAAATAATTTGTACATATAGGTAGTCGAAAGGCACTGGTATTTACCAGAATATAAAATTAAAAATAAATTGAAGTTTTAATATCTGATAAAACCTGCTGAAGAACAAGTTTGTTTGTCAATTCAGAAATATAATGAGTAAACGAAATACGACAGCTAAATGAAATAATCATTCATATATTTAAGCACATTTAGTTTATATACTTTCTAACAATAATGTGTACTTTTTGTTGAATTGCGAAAACGAAGAAAAAATATGAATAAAATTGTTTCACTATTGAAGGTTATATGAGCACCTAAGTGGGTTCATTGAGCCTACATTTAATTCATTCACAACCTCAATGGGTACAATGAGTGATAACGTGCCTCATGATGATAGCCAAGACTATGAATCAGATTCAGAAAATTCCGAAATGTCACAATTTGATCCCTACGTTAAATTTTACCAATCTGTTCAAGATGCAAGAGGAAGTCCCTTTGAGCTACCAAGTACTGTATCTCTACTTGAATGTCCCAACGGCACAAAAGTGTATTTGATAGGCACAGCACACTTTAGTAAAGAAAGTATCGAAGATGTAAAATTTGTAAGCTATTTGGTTGTTTTCTTATCAATTTTTAGGTGATTTCGAAAACTCTCCCGGATGTGCTTGTCGTCGAGTTATGTGATGCAAGACGAAGCGCTGCATTTATGACCGAAGAACAAATTGAAAGGTCTGTGAAAGAGAATTCATTGGCCACTATGATCAAAAGTGTAAGTTCACGTCTAGACATACTGAAAGACCCTCGGTACTGCCTTTTCACTACCTGTTTTTTTTCTAGATGGGTGTAACTAATGGAGTAGCTGAGTATCTCCTACTTCGGGCCTCCAGTTACATTATGAAACAGGTTGGAATGGCACCAGGTGGAGAATTCCGGGCTGCAGTTCAATGTGTTTTCCGCCAGCCTCATTTTCATTTACTCCTTGGTGATCGACCAATTCATGCCACCTTACAAAGAACATTGGACGCATTGAGCATTTGGATGAAAATCAAGTTTTTCTTCAGCCTACTCTTTGGATTTTCTGAGATTACGTAAGATTACTAAATAATTCATCCTTCCCTTGCTTCACTATTTCCATTTTTGGTTTCTCCACTTGTGGAAGCCTTCTATCGTTTAGTTTTTTATGTAAGCCTACCTAGTGATACTCTTAATCTCTTTTATAGCCATAACAAATCATTTTCTAATACATTTATCTGACCATTGTGTTTATATTTGCGAAGTACTGAGTGCAGTAGTCCTCGTTTACTTGATAAGGGTGTGAGTGAAAATCGATGAGATCGTTAGGATTGAACCTAACTGCGTATTAGTAAGTTTTAAACTCGTATATTGTAAGCGTAACTACACCTAAATTCGTGCAAATCTAAGTCAATAGGTCCCATATTAGTTGTGGGAAGGGAATAATTCAGTTAAAAGCAATTCCAACATATGATAAGGGCATCAAAATAAATTAGAGATTAACCCCAAATTACTGAAAATTTCTGTTATTTAATTCCTAAATCGGGTTTTAAGATACTTACCTATTTTGAAGTTCAAGCTCTTACGCTAAAAGGTCGCGATTCATCCCCCTAATTACTGTGCTAATTCCTGTCGTTGATGTCCAATTCTTCTTCTCTGTTTATCTATTTATGATGGTCTTTCGAATTCAATTCTGTCTTCCAAGAAAGCGTGGTGTAATTATTGCTGATTACGTGAATTTAATATAACAATATCGAGACAACTTAACTTGTTTTTTTTCAGTCCCGAGGATATTGAAGCCATGAAGAAGGAGGATTTGCTTGAGCAATTACTCAAATCCCTTACCAGTGAATACCCAGATTTGACTCGCACTTTACTTGAAGAACGTGATCTCTACTTGGCTCGCAGCATCTGGGAAGTTTGTGGCCTTTCTCCTTTGGAGGAAGAAGTCAAAGAGAATTCTACTCAACTGACACAAGACATGGCAGAAGTGGAAGAAGGTGAGAAGACGTCAGAAGTGCGTCAGAGAAATAAAGCAGAGAAGAATGGAGAGGTGGCGACAGGTAGTGAAGTAGAGAGGGAGGTCGCCCAATCTATGCATGCCCGAAAGTACATCCACTCATCGGTGATGAGAGAGAGGTGCTGTCCAATGTGGCCACCTATGAATATCCTGCCTCGTGTGGTTGTTGCCGTTGTTGGTATGGGACATGTGGCCGGTATAAAGAAGGCCTGGTTGAAGGCTCCGTACATTAGCAAGGAGGAACTATGCAAGTACGTTCTTAAAAAATGGTGTACATTTATATTTTAACCGGCAGTTGACTTCTGACTTCAAATTATCATCACCCCACTGTATGTCATTTTCGACTACTTCCACGGAACTAACCTCGCCTTTCATCTACCTTTGTGTCTGTCTCTTTTACATCTTTGGAACACTTCTGTTCCCCCTTCCTCCCTCTCGATTTTTTTTTCATTTTAATGTTCCTCTCCCTCTGTGAAGCCTGAAGTCAACTAAAGGGCTAATGATAATTATCATAAAGCCTACCATTTGATATAAATATTCAGGACCCTGCTTTAGTAAGCTATCCTGTATCATATATGGAACAGAAAGTCAAGTGGGCATCTGTTCTATAGAGTTCTACATAACGCGTTTGATCATGAAGAGACGAATAAGTTGGGGATTTACATAGCCACCTCTTCTGGAGGCATTGTAAACTTATGCAATAACGAACGAAGCAATTAAGTCGATTAATTGCCTTTTATAAAACTATACATTTCTCAGATTTCACTAATGATGGAGAAGTGTCTTAGCTCAAACTGTAGTATGAATGACTTAAATGTCAATTTTACTTTAGGTAGCTCAATAAGGTGAAATGTCTTAAATACGAGATCTTTAAAATGCACATTTTAGTATATGTATAGGAATTAAAGCTCTTTTCTGTTGGAATGGTAACCTTTTAGGGGTAAATAGATTTTTTCTTATCTCTCACAACTTTTTTTATAATTCTCACCTTGGGCAAAGGACTAACATCCTGGAGCCTCTGTTATGCAAGAAACTGAGGTTCCGTCATCCTACCGACCACTAATAACAGTTCTTCATACCGATAAATTTTGAACAGTTATGCATACTGATCACTATGCCACAGGCACCTCCATTCTTTTATTTAAGGCTGGTCCTATCAAATTGCCCAAACTAAATAGTTTTAGCGCTATGTTAAAGTTCCTATATTTTATCATTTTCGTGAGTGCAGAAGCCTTATCAACCAAGACCCATCGAATTGTCCTTTCTCCTAGCTCAGTTGCGTTGACTCCCTTAATAAACTGGGTTCTTAGCCATTCGATGTTTTTATGTAACTGGAAAATATTGTGTATAACTTGTCGAAAGCCACAACGGGTCCCGAACATTATACTTTCACCTGGGTATATAGCAGAGGCTCAGCATTGGAAGTATTTGGAATTCTTTGGTTTCCTGTTTTAGAATTTATCTTGCTGGGTAAGTCATTCTTTCGCGTGGTGGGGTTGTAATAAACGTACATTGATTCGCATACCCATACAGGAGCTGATGTGTTAATTTGCGGAATAGATTTAAGATTACTACCTAATTAAACGAATATTTGTAGAAGTGCATTCTTAAATGCTCTTTTTCTTTCGCTTTTAGAGTAAAGCCAAAGACTCGTTCCTGGTTTCTCTTCCGATGGACAACTCGAGGTCTTCTCCTTGGATCTCTGAGTTTTGCAGCCTACTATATCGCCTACGGCACTTACAGGTTGAGTCGATATCTCGCTCTTGGCTCGTCGTAAATACAAAATGGTCTTACATGGGAATTGATACGTTTGTTTGTGCGTGCTTTTTAAATATCGACTTGTGATTTCTCTTCTGCTGATTTATATATGTGTATTCAATACATTCCATGCTTTTGGCATGTCATATTTTTATTTTTTTGCATTTAGGCACTTAATTAGCTTTACTGTTGTTTCCTATGTGGTACTAAGGCCATTTCCTTACTAAAGTAACAAAAGCAATTTTGTATTGAGAGGGATTTTTAGTTGAATGAGAGTGAAAATCGATTTCCCCTTATGGGGCTGTAAGCTGTAATAAATGTGGCAGATTTCACGCGTTGAGGGAGATGGCTTCGTAAGTGTCAAAGTGCAGGCTCAAAAAATTGATTACGGGTCTCAAGTGCAGTGGGGGGGGGGGGGGTTGCGCTTCTAAGATGCGTTAAAATTTCTTTTCCCCGATTGAAAAGAATTGTTTGCTCTGGTCTACGTTAAATTTATCGCAATTAAAACCTTCTTCGTTGAATAAAAATATTACCATATTGCCGACAAGCTATAATTTTATACTATTTCGTTGTTAAAATTGACAACGGCTAACAAATACTCCATGCTTTTGCTCAGTCGAGAAATTCATGACTACGCTATTGAATGTTTTTGATACATTGTTACGGTTCTTTCTTTATGCTCCTTTTACTGTTATGCTTTAAAGTATGTTACTTTTATCCCTTTCTCACAATTCATCTTCAGATACATAACTGTATGCTAAAGGAAATAAATATTTTTATTTTAATGAAGTTACTTTCTCAATAGTCAATACTTTCATTCAAGTTTCTTAATTCATGCGTGAATCGATATTTTCTCGTTTTTGTGAATTTAAGGCAATCAATTGGGTTCACAGGCATGGATTTGGCTGTAAATTTAAATTGCCTTGCGGTATGAAAAGTCTTGTCTCAACCCTTTAACGCTCTGCATAACCGTATGGTCCTGTTTCAAGATAAGCTCATTGGTACTAGGCTCGTAACAGAGGGGAAAGCAGTGGAAAATCTTCTAGAACACAGCAAATAATGCGGGCGTTAAAGGGTTAAGCATTGTTGAAATTGCATTGATGTCTTATTGAAATAACTGTGTTTTAATATGTGCATTCTTTCACAATTCTACCCACATTCCTGCAAAATTGCTTTTAAGGGTATGATTCACACAACTTGCAAGAGTATATTAAATTAAGTATATCGCAACACTATAGTATTGGTCTACTTCCTTCTCTTCCCTTTGGGTTTTGGTGCCAATTTCCGAATCATATCGAATGTGTCCTGGTTGATCAGATGGCTTACTCGCATTCCGATACGAGGTAGCTTATTGTCTTTTCTTTCTAGGATACCCTCCAGAATTATGCGGCCTGCAACTTGGCCAATATCGTTTCCAAAGAGATCCACCTCTTGTAGGTCCTTGGAGAAGGCTATTATCCTAAATTGAAATAAAATTTTAAGTTGATACCTGTTGGGTAATCCAATTACGATTTGTCTGTAAAGACTTCTTGACAGGATTGTTGTGCAGTTAATGTGATTTGCTTTTTATTTGACTGGTTTGTACTTCTTCACCTAGTCTACCTATCCTAAAACTCATTCTGAATCATTTGGAATCAATAATTATTAAGAAAAGGTCTTAAACAGTGTCATGACTAAGGCTAACCAATCAAGACGCAAATAAAGTCTTTGAGATAATCCTGATTACCATGGCCAAAACAATTAAAAATGTTAACTCTTCTCTCTAGAAGTACAATTCGCTATCACAAGTGATTTCAAGTGGAAACATTGAAATGCGTAACATTCAAATTTTCCTAAAAGTAAACAGTGATCCTTTACTATTGACGGGATCAACAAGGACTTTCAGTAACCAACTACCATTTGGGGGGGGGGCTTTATAAAAGGCTTCTTTTCGATCAATGAAATATCTTGTCTTTATTTTGTAAATGAGCATATCATCTTTCGCATTCTACTTTGTGGCTAAAGTCTAATTTTAAAATGGAGGAATATATATTAAGCTTCAAATGTGTAGCAATCTGGTTCATATTAAATCACTCTAAATTATGTTTGAACTTACATTACCCATATTGGAAGAACAAGTTAAAGTTCATTAAAACTTGCGTTTTAAGGTATTGCATGCAGCGAGGTGGTGCAAGACTACCTCCACGACCAAGGTTATTGATATTATTTTCGGCCAAATGAAGGTGAGTTATCTGAGGTCCGCAAGGTGGTTGCTTTTTCTTCTTTCTTACTAAACAACATATTTGCTGGAATGACGATGATAAGGAATATGGAGCAAAAAAGATACATTCGATCGAGTAATCTCCCTGAAATGTATATTTATTAAATGTGACTCCGTATTTCAGGTAATATTAACGAGTGCGCTGACTGTAGTAAGAAAAGTGAATAAGAGAAGAAACACGAAGTCTTGGGATCCTGAAATGGAACGTTTTAAGAAAATCAATGTGAATAACATTGGTAACCGATGTCATTCATTCTCCTATGTCAATCGATCCCAACCAAACTTTCAACTTCTTTTGCAAATACTAGCGTAGTGGGTTATTTGCGAAGACATGTGGGCTACTGTGAGCACCAAGTCCCTTCAAACTGATCATGCTATTCTACTGTTCTTCAATCAATAGTCTTCGCATGCGGTTTCTTTACAGAAATAATTTCTTAGTAAGAAAAGTGGGGGTGCATGCATATCCATTAGTGCTTAATGGAAATTGTAAAAAGTTAAGAGAGCAGCGTATTTATAAAATAAACATAACTCATTATAATTTCAAACTTTTTAGCTAGGTTCTAATTAAGTAAAGTCATTTTATGACGACAATAGAAATAAAAAGCCAATAAAATAAATGCAAATTCGTTGCGTTGCCTCCTCTTCACATAATCATTATTCCTCAAACTCGCAATGCCTCTTGCATTAACGTTCTCTATCACTGATTTCAAATTATAATAATAATTCGATGAACAGATACATCAAGATGCATTGCTGATTGAGGACTTACTTGATTTGCGTTTCTCGCTTTCAGTGTGGGTTTTAGGTGTCTCCTCTGCTTCAGTTGTTGTCTCCCCGGGCGTCGGAGCGTCTGATTGTTCAGGAGGGAGAGCGTCTAGATCAATCCGCTTTTTCGCCTCTTTAATAAGGGGAAGATTGGAAAATAAAACGCGTAACATCCTAATTGTCAGTTAATAATATCTTAGCCGTAATTCATCAATGAATTGAAGGTGAGAGATCAACCAATTTTCAATTCTTCCCATATCTTCTTTCATTTCTAATTACACTACCTTTACCTAACTTATCTTAGTCTAACATTCGGCTTCTTGATCTTCTGATTTTGGAAAGACTTAATTAAACATTTAGCTGCTTCTGCTAACTGAATATAAGGTTTTGGACAATGATTTGTCACGTTTCTCTTTTAGCATGAGATGAAAGTTGAAGTTATTTAAACGCGAAGTCAACGCTCGCCTTTAACACGTTTCTGCACTTCATATGAGTAATTATGTAAATTCAAGAAAATACCTGCGGCTTCAGCAGCTGCTATTTTTTCGGCCTTCAACCTCTCACGCTCCTGTGCTTCAAAATATGCCGCTTCTGATAACTTATAAAGTAAATCCGAAACGCCATCAGCCTCCAAGTTATTACCATCCAAATATAACTCTCTGAAAAGTATACATTCGTCTGTTAGTTAATTGGTCTACTTTGAATTTATAAGTAGGCTGTAAATACCTGATTGACGTATTTGCGACGAGATTTCCTAGCCAAACACCACTTTGCTTATTCAGGCCGCAGAAGCACAAACTGAGCCGAACAAGCCAACGGCAGAATTTTAACCCTTCATAGAGCGTCTGACAACCAGAATCACCAAATCTAATCATCATTAACTGAAAACGCTCTTCACATACTCATTGAAATCAAGGACTAATTCTCGTAATGTTTTTGTGTAGTTGACATAAGGAGCGAAAGGACTAAGTGCTTTTGAATCCAAAAAACAATCAGTCAAATCGATTAGAGCTATTTGATAATTTCCTTTAGCGAGCATATCTCCCTTTGAAATTAAGTCCGTTATAAAACGTGAACTTACAAGGCACATCATATCATTATGTTGTAAATAAACGCTCCATACGTAGAGCTTTTGGAAATTTATAAATCGATTATTTCTGAGAGCTTCGATCAAAGGCAAGAGTCGAACTAGAGGCTTCTCCGCTTTCTTCTTTTTCTTCTTTTTTAAATCATCCCGCTTTCTTAACCAGTAGGCAAATTGCTGGTCCTCCAAATATTCCACCTTTTTTCTATCATTTGGATTCATAACAAACTAATGCAAATGAATATAAAACTGATACTATTAAGTACGATTCTAGGCAACTCTTCCTCTGCCATTGCTGTCTGTAGAGTCTCCTTAACGGTAGGACATAGAGAACAGTTGAATTCACGACATATTTTCTCATAGTCTTTATAAATTGATGTAAGAAGCTTAACTACTGGATTTTCGGGCTATTATTAAGATAATATCAAATAAATCTCTCAAACCCTCTTTGAGTTGGATGGTTTCGGTCGGGATTTCGTAGCCTATTTGAATATATGAAAACCAATAGCTATATTGAACATTATAAGATTTAAGCAATATTTTGAATAAAAAAATGTATGGGGTCACTTTTAGGATTTCAGTTTAAATATTTAATAAGCTGAAATTTAAAGTAAGAATTTTCCTTGATTAAAATTTAATAAATAAAAGGATTGTGGGTTTTATGAAACACGATTTCTATTTGGCCGTTTATGCATAAAGCTTAATAAGTATACAAAATGGAAAATCACTAAATTAGCTATTTGTGCAAGTGTTAAGATTCAGATTAAACACCCAAAAGAGTTAAGATTTGATAGAATTGAAAGGAAAATATCATGACTCCTATACAATTAAAATTTTGGGAAGTTTCAATTAGTTAATTCTGCATGATCTATATTTATTTTTGATAATTTATAATTAATAAATAATTCACGTTTACATAGTTATTTTATATTATAGACAAAATTCAGTGTCAGTTTATAAACCTAACATGGTTTTCGTGATGCTATGTAGTAAAATTGTATCTAATACAGCATGGAATAGAGAATTGGTGTAAGTTATCATAAAACAGCAAACTTGAATATTGACCATATGGAAATTTCGAAAGCGTACGATTTAGTTTCTAGGGTATTTCAAGGTTAAAATTCAATAACTAATATAGAGAATTACTCAGAAGGCCGCAGTAATAAAAATATGACCTTTAAATTTACATATTTCTGAATTTGTAAATGAATAATTTCTGTTATCTTTCAGTAAAGGCTTAAAAATCAAGAGTATTCATATTTAATATTTCAAAAAGTATCTCTTGTCCAAGGAAAATAATGCCATGAACTGAACACAATCTATATCACATTTTCTTATTTGCTTGCTGCTTTTTATAATTTCCCTAAGCGAAAATGTAGCTATGATGGAAATAATGTCACTTTAAACGACCCTTCTTCTACTTTGGGGAGCAAAATAATATGAAATCTTTCAAGTGGTTCTTATAGAGCTTTGTTATTGGTTTTATTATTTATCAATTTTAAGTGTTATATTTGCTATAATAATCATTTATATTAATGGCACCAATAGTTATTTAATTTAGTTAAAACAGCAAACATCTATATAATATTTAATAAAATTGCTTCATGGTGACATAACCTGTTGCTAATAGTCAAACAACGTCAATGTTACACAAAGGAATAATTTAGATATATGAACTCCATTTTACAATTTCGTAAATGACTAGTCAATTCTTTTGTTTTAGTATAAATGCCACTGACGGGAATTTTTTCTTCTATGGAAAGTGGCATTAACCTGTTTTTATGCTTAAGCTCAAAGTGAATTCTTATTGTGCGAACTACGTGAGAATTTTTTTAATTCTTGAGATACCGAAGCAAAATATGAAATGTTTAAAATTAAGGGCAAAACATTTTTACGTAATAATAGCAATCAGTCAACCAAGTGCATTACATAAATATTTAAGAAACAAATTCTAATCTAAATTGAGCATTATTTTATTATGAACTCCTCCAATGAATTAATTTAAATAACCTTGTGTAATTTTCTAAATTAAGTAATAAATCAAGGCTTACGATTTCGAGATAGTTAAAGGGTACTTTGAAAAGGTAACATTCTTGTGAAATTTTCTTATTCTTTTCACTAAAGTCCTTAATTATTTGCCTCAAACTTTGAAGTAAAAATATTTACTTTAAAGATTTCGTCTGATCTGATATATTCAGCCGAAAATATATTGGTCGCCTTATCTGACTGTTAAATTTTTATTCAACTTAGAATTAAATAGACATTTCTGATGAAATGAATAAAATCTAAAATCTAAAATACTCATAAAGTATACATGGAGCTCACTAATAACTTATGTTTTCGTTATCGTTTGAATCTTTTTTTAAGCATGGACGTCCTGTTTGATTTCCAACATCGGTATCCTCGATTTGTATCATAGCAAAGTGTTTTGGGGTCGTAACAACCAACTTACATTTGGCCATACTCGTCAAACAATAATATTGAATCGACATTGATTTTGCGTGCTTTAGGGGGTTCGAATAGACTGCCGGTGTGCGATCAGTGGCCATAGTAAATAACAGTCGCCAAGAATGGAAGAGGAATTAACTGGAAAAGTCTTCAATACGCATTATTTTTATAATTTTTGTTTAGTTTTGGTTTTGCGCATTACATTTTATATTATCTTCGGGTTCTAATTAATACTAAACGAAAGATTGTTCTATTAAGAAAAAGTAAAAGAAAATATATCAGATAGATTTCTAAATGTATTTTACATAACTTAACATGTCATAACTGCCGAGAGCAATGGAAATGAAGCAGAGTGAAAGATAGGCAATATTTATTGACTTTAAAACGCTAATTCATAAATGCATTCTTGTTGAAAACTATAGAATGCAATTATTTAATGGAAAGCATTTCATAAATATCAGTTATTCAATCTATTAAAGTCGGCAAATTACTCATCTTTAGTCCCGTTTACAGCTAATAAAGATTCGAAAATTTCATATTTAATTCTATTTCATAAAAGTTAACCCTGATTATTGCCCTTATGTTCACCTAAGAAGATGAGCAATTCTATAATGAGACTTAAAATGAAAGGATTGTTTGAGATTAAAGTAATAAAATATCAAAGTGATAGCTCCAAGAATATTGATTCAGAATCATTAATTAATTAATTAATTAATTTCACAAAAATTCGACGTTTCACAAGAAGTTTAAACTCGCCAGACAATGTCCTTACAAAAGACCTCTTTGTTTAGTATTACATAGTGGGACATATATTATTATTATTATTTGAAGGGAGAGAGAGGTAAACACTCGAATAAAGAGGGGTTTGGAAGAATTCCCATCGGCACAAGGACACACGTTAATTAGATGCACGACTGGCCTCCAATATATTTGGATGTGTACATTCGAGAACATTGTTCATTTGCATATCTTATCATCTTGCCCACCTTTTCCCAATCAAACCTAGATAAGTTACTATTTTGTGCACTCGCCATTCCTTAAAACAACATGTTGACAGGAACAATTGTTCTTTTATTGTGCAATTTAGGGAATCTCATTTTGACAATCAAGATCACATTATTCTTAAAGCATGAAAATTAGTTTTGATAGTGTTAATTACCGCAGTTTGCCTTTAAATACACTTTTAATGAAATTAAAAACTCAGTAGTTATAATAAAGCTTCGAATTAACTTGCGCAATAATTAGCCAGTTTGAAGGCCATTTTGAAGGAATCAAGTACCTTTGAAGTCCTTGCAACAATATAAGTAACACGATGATCTAGTGCACCACGAGCCAGTTTATGTGTTTATTGGTTGGTTTTTAAAGCATGTTTTCCCATTTACTCAGAGTCTTATTTATAAATTTAATTCAGTATGCTTATAAACATTAATGATCAGAAATGAAGATATATGTATAATAATACTAAAAGCAGTGGTGTAGGCATTGCCAATACCTGTTTAGTTATTGAACGGATTAGGCCAATCAATTGGGATTACACTCCCATCTCATTCATTCTTCTTTCTTTGTTCAGTTTTGGCTCTCAAATTCTAATTAGGCGATTGTTTTTCTTATTTGCAATCATTCAATGGTTAGGAAAGCATCAATGACCTAAGCTTATTCTTAATAACAGTGTCCTAATATATGTTTTGATTTCTCAGCAGTGTGCCAGATACTTTCTCACGATTGAAATAGGAGATAAATAAAAAGTGTTTAGATAAAAAATTATTTACTGAGACTACCGGAACAAACGCTCGGTGCGATCAGTGTTTACAAGATTTCACCCAATTAAATAGACTGAAAAAATTAATATTTTGTGAATTATTACGAAAATATTCGTCCCTGAAAATATTTAAACCAGTTAATTAAAAGCAATACTATCATATTTAAATTTCAACCATTAATTTAGCAAAATAATTGAAAATCTTTTCGCTTCTTTAGCTAAGTTTAAGGGTTTAAAT